CTTGTATTTGCAGGCATCTTCAGAGAGCACAACTGTATATTCGTCCACCCAGATGTAACAACAAAGTTGGGTATTCAGAATTATTGTTACGCTCGTCCAGATCCTCATTTATCCTCTTGGGTCTTGGATAACACCAAATAGGACCTCAGTGTAATAACATTACATATTCCCATTTGCACTCGCACGATCTCATAACTTATGTGATTATATTTAAAATACTAATTAAATGGGCTGTGATACATTTAATATATTCATTGTGGGTGATATTATAATAATAAGACTGAATTTCTAGATGAATAATAAATTATTCACAGATATTGAACAAAAATATTTTAGACTGGTGAAGAAACCTAGCTTAACGCCATGACAGGTCAGGACCATATCAGTATGAGGTGCTCGCTGTTTTGTGCTGGAAATGCACAGCAGTAGAATTTTGTCTAGTATTAAAATATTTATTAAACTATTGAGGTCTCCTCTCCATTTTAGTGCACATGTTAGAGTACAAAATGGGACTAGTTGAAGCATGTGAAAGTGAGCTGGTTTCTGAGAAAGGAGTGAAAGCATTGTGTTGCAAGTTCATTGAGCAAAGACATTTTTTTTTAAATTCAAAATTGTAAAGTATTTTGGTCTTCATTTAAATGGGAAAGAGATTAAGGCTTTTTGTCTGGATAAAGTTCTTTCTTCAGTCAGGTCAGAAATTTGAAGCCGCGGAATTGTGTAAGAAAATGCCATTTTATATTGTATTCAGTCGATTATCAAATTTATACCAAGAAATTGCAGTCTTGCTGATATTGTGGTCATACTTGTAATAATATTATGTTCTTTCATGTGTTTTCTCAGAATCCATATCAAAGTCATATCGAATCACTAACTGATGTTTTGGTCATTTGAGATTTTAGACTATAGATAATTTTATAACACCATTTCTTATGACATCTTTGAGTGAAGATGCTCTTAGCAAGCTGCTGTGATATAATACTGTTTATTTCCATTGTGTTCTTGGCCACTGGCACCAAAACAAATTTGCCATTAATATATAATAGAAGCATTTGTTTTCTACATTAT